TCTGGAGATGTTGCGCTGTTTCCAGTCATCAGTACACAATAAACGTTGGTATTTCTATAAAAACATCTTAGCTTTCTTCAATAAACACAAAAATTTTGTTTTGTACAAAAATAATATGCCTCTTTTTTTTTTTTTTAGCCATCTTCTTGACATGCCTTCTTCGGAAGTTGGCTGTAATGCAGTTTCAGTACACACTGTTCTTCTGGAGTACTCTGGACACTGACACTGTGATTTATGAGAACAAAACGCACCTTTCACCTGTAGCCCCAGTGATCTTTCTGCATTGCTGCACAAGCTCTGCTCATGGCACCGACAACTAGGGAGACTGGCTGGAGATGAGCTGCTGAGATAAAGTTTATTTTGAATAGGGTGACATCATGGGCTTTAGTTTGGTGATACTGACCCCAGGCCATGCATTTAAGATGAAAATACCACAAACTGTTCCCAGCTGGTAGCTTAACAAAAATACATCAGTCTTGAAGGGCATGGGAATCTGCTCTTGGAGACTGCGTACTCTCAGAGAGCTCTGAAGTCTAACTTTGTCTCTTTGCTTTTTATATATCTAAAAGCCAGCTCCTGAAAAAAAATCAATTATCCTGTTTTCAGAAGAGATGAATTTGATATCGCTCTGGGAACTTAATGTCAAGATTGTAAAGTGATGGTGCAACTCAGTTAAAACCTACACATTCCATTCTAAGCAACTGGATGCAGTGTGTTGACCTGTGTTGTACAAGAAACCATTTTTCCTTCTGTTTTGTTTTCTTCAAAATCTGTAACTTTCAGTGTTGAATGTTCTTGTACAAGAGAAAAATTAAATTGTACCTGGAGAGGAGGGAAGGATGCACACTTCAGATACCACCGCACACAGATTCGCTGAGCCAGCCATGGGCTTCACATAGCTGCTAAGCAAATCTCTCTGTGCCTCTTTCATCTCTCACATAAATTGTAAAACGTCCAGCTTGGATAGCCCCTTACTTCAGACACCAATGCCCATAAGAGTAGGGCACAATGCTTGGTTGGGATCTCTAGACTTGGCTTGGTTCCACTCAAACTAGGCATCCGGAACAAGAAATCTCAATAAATAAATACTGGTACTTCCAAGGCAGAGCTGAATTCCTCCCCCTGAGGACTGCAAAGAGAGAGAGAGCTCAGCAGGGCAAGACTCCAGCACCTCAGATGCTCTGTCTGACAAATGCAGGTTTAGGTATAGCCCCAAGTTAAAAAATAAATGTTGTAACATCACAGCTCATCCAATTCTCAACAGGTCTAACACTTAAATTGCCAATAGGCTGTATTTTGGTGAACGACCAACACAGCCCCAGGATCCTTCACTTTGCATTTTTATGAATCTCTGTCTGCTTGCTCAAAATTGCTCATGATTGATCATGCAGCTTGTGCAGCTTGTCTCTGTCAAATTTCCTAAACCAACTGAAATAGCTATTTACAAGACAGGTATGTGTAACACAAGTGTGAGTGAATGGTGCTGACAAGAACTGGTATGTCCCAGACACCGCATCACATAGGACTGAGTATGTGCAAGTTAGGAAAGGTCAAAACCATCTTAAAATAGCTGATGTCCAAAAGCTCATTCTCTCCCTCAAACTCTAGCACAGGTAATGTCACCACTCAATTTACTGCCACACTGATTTTTGCTTTTTCCAACACACAATGACATTCTGATGCCAGATAGTTTTTGACATCTTGTAACCAAACCTTGGAGGGAGGCTGGATGTCACACACTTTTATTTGGATGCTTGGATTTAATGCAAGTGACAGCTGGACTTTATTTTTCTCCAGCTTATTCCAGTGTTAGAAGGATATATGTTAAACTCATCCATGCACCTTGTTGAAGAGGTACCAGATGCTCTGGCATATGCGATTCGTTAAGTGAACATTTGTTTCCCCAGGAGCGACACACGCACGTGTCACCTGTGCTCTGAAGTAATGCATCTCTCTTAATGAATCTGCACCTACTTCCTCTCAATTCACAGGACAGACAGCAAGCAGGGGTGATGTATCAGGCCCCCATCCCAGGCAGAGCAGGTTCAGGGGACCAGCACGCTGTGCCTTAGGACTTTGCAAGGCCAGGCTTCTGCCCAGTACCTGGACCTCACTACAGCGGTTTCTCCTCAGAACAGCCGCAACTTGTGGGTAGAAGCCATGGGATGTCTTCCTTTTTTAGCTGTTTCTTTCAGTTGCTCACTGACTCGGGTCCCTGTCTTCAGCATTTGTTCTGCCCCTTCTAAATGCCTTTCAGGCTGTCACCTCTTCCCTTGTCCAGGTACAGGTTGCTCCAGATCCACACCACTGCAGATGTCTCACCTGACCTGGTCCACCTCAAACAAGCTGTAAAAGCTCGTTTTACTTCATGCTAATGGAAAAACCCCAGGATTGTCCCTGGGGAAAAGTGCCATGTCCCCTCCCGTTCATGCCAGCACTGCAGGACACCAGCCAAGCATCACCCTCAGATGGAACTGCTACTACATTAGCAAGTTGGTGGGCCAAATATCCCTTTATTCCTTGCTCTGGCACAAAGGAAAAACCTCTCCCTGCTTTTCTCTGGCTGGGAAATACCAGAAGGGATGATGTGAACTTAGGAGCTAACTTACGTTTACTTTTTCCATTTGCCAAGGCAATGCTTTCACCCACTGGCACCAGCCTTTGATTGACCACACTTTCCATCATGTTTCTGTTATAACTCCAGCTGCTGCCTCATGCTTTCTCTTTGTTCCACAGCAACTCACAGTCACCATCTGTGCAAAGGGCCCTGCTGTTTTTCCTGATGTGCATAAAATGAGACTGATTCCCATGCTGCACTGCATATGGGATGTGCAGGCACACCAAACTGCTTCCACAACCACTGGACACACAGAAATGTGTCAGCAAACACCAGAGATGCTGAAATGCCACCCAGTGACCACAGAAAGAACATACTGCAGGTTGGCCCATAAGCTTCCTCTGGTATTCATCTCATCCTATTTTAGCTGTGGAAAGGCTAAGCATCTAAAATAATCACATATGCACCGTGCAGTCACCAAGGAAGCATTATGTGTCTCAACCATAGGCTGCAGTGCCATTTCAGAGATCCTAGGGCATCTCATCTGCCCTCCATAATCTGCTCCAGGCCACAGGTCTCCTCCAGTCCCTGGGTCCTATCTGCCAACCCCAAGAGATGCCACAGACTCCGTAGGGTGTCTCAGCTGACACTAAGGAAACTGAGTCACGCCTCATAGATGGGCAATTTAGACAGGACCATAACAGCCACACTGAGGAACTGAATCCCACTGTGTGCCATTAAATGCAGAGTTCTGGAGCATCCATCTATAGGCCTATAGGTTTGCTTGCTGTTTGCTTTGTTACCACATATAGTCAACTGATCACACAGGTTAACAGTGGGTAGGACTTAGCTCCAGGCTGTAGATAACTAAAATTTGGTATGGAGAACTACAGCTCCAGCCGGATGGCCTTTCTTAGGTATCTACTGCCATTAGACTTCCTTACTCCACCTGGTCTCCAGCTGCTTGTTCAGCTTTAGATGTGCAGATGCACCAGTTTAGGTGTCTCCATGCGTGACCTGAATCCTTACTCCAGTGGTAAAGCGAGAGATAACTGGGTATAAATGCTGTCCATACAACACCAGCACCTCTTCAGCCTTCCATGCACCAACTACTCGGTGAGAAGGCAATGTTCATTGCTGTAGGATCTCCTGAACATTTTTTCTTGCTATTGCTAAATAAAGTCTGTTTTTTGCTGAATTATTTTGCTTGAACAAACTACAACAGAAGTACACAAAACCAGTCTTTATCCTTTGATCACCAGTATCTTCAGAAAATGTCATATTTACTTCTTATGGCAAAGCTCAGGCATTAGAAGAATCATTTGGTCAGTAAAATCAATTAATGTAATTTTGAGCAACAAATTCTATCTTATAAAAAAATGAACAAACCAACAGTCAACTCTACAGCTGCTGAAAACTTTATTTTTGTGTTACTTCATACACATGAGCTATAAAAGCTTGTACAAAAAATAAAATAAAATGTTAAAACTACAGCCTCGTATTTTTTTAATCATTTACTGTAAATATTAAGAGGGAGAAGAAAGCTGCCAATGAATTTACTGGAAGCATTTAACCTTTTGGAGATGATGTCACTATTGCTGCAATGAGGATTGGCTAATACATTTTTTGGGGGGGGGGTTTGTTTGGTTTTTTTTTTTTTAAGGAAATGCCAGTTTTATTCAAATCTTTCTGCAGGAATGTGTCCCATTTCAGGGAGAAATTGTCCCATTTCAGGGAGACATTCACTAGGAAGTGAGCTTCAGTTTAAACCCTTTTGCTGTCTCATCCAGAAAAAAACCAACATTCAGTTCTTACTGAACAGAGCAAGGGCCTGACTCGGTCTCCTCCACCTAGTGGGAATGCACCAAACAACAGGCCACTGAGAGAAAAGGGATTACAAAAACACACATTCAAACTCTCCTTACTAGCAAAATTCAAAACAAAATACTCGTAGCAGCCCCAGCTGCTACAGGGAGTGCAGAAACATGGAGATAAACATCTGGTGGAATGTAAGAAGCAAGGCCTTCAGTGGAGGAATGAAGTCCATCAGCACATGGAAGGTGTACTTATGTAATACAGCTTGCAGAACTAGATCCAGTGAGAAGCTGAGTGGCTTTTACAAGATGCTGTTCGAGGATACCTGGCACTGACGGGTGGGAACCATGAAGCCCTCAGAGAGCATCTTGCAGATTTAGGTCCCTAATGCAATATAAAATATATTTGCTCCATTTAGTGACCTGGGAGCTTGCTTTGGCTTAGTTTTTTCCCCTAAGCATTTGCTGTTAAGTTAATAACAGTCTCTCACTTTGCAGAGGCTCCACATAAACACTACTCTGACTACTTCTGAGGGCCAGATCTGCTACAAGGGTAAATCAGTACAGTTTCACTGATTGAGGATCTGGCCTTAAAAGTCTATTCAGTGCATTAAAACCAGTGCAGCATGACATATGCCCTGGCAGTAGAACAATTCTCCAGATTAAAATTTGAGGGATATTTGGCAGTAAAAAGAAAAAAACCAAAAAGGCTCTGTTTAGGAACGCTGCCACTTCTTTACCCAGTGCTGACCACCACAGCTTCTCCACTTGAGAACTGTACGGTTACGGCTGGGGTTTCACTGTCATTCTCATCGAGCTTCAGCGCAGCGTTGTCCAAACCAGTGCTGCTGGGCTGTGGCAAGGCAGTGGGTTCTGCTGTCTCAGTTGGAGTGGAGCAATACATGATGAAGCCCACCATGATGATAATGAAGGACAGGATATAAAGACCTGAAAACTAGCAGAGGAAAGAAAGCAACACATTAAATCTTGTCTGATGTAAATAATGTCAATGCTGCCTTGCTTTAAGAATGTGAAAGCTACCCTTCCTTTTAAAATTATTTAAATGAGGATTATTGCCATGATCTGAATCAGAATTCAACACATCCACTCACCGACAGTCCCAAGCTGCTGGCTGCTTTTTTCCACATCTCATCCTCAGCACTGTTGGACAGTGAGTTTCCTTAGGTCTACATACTGAAGGATACTGAAGGACAGTTGTTTACACATGTGAATACTGAAACATTGTACCCCATGAGAATTCTGTTTCAGCACAGCCAAATAGTTCAGGTCCTGACAAGAGATGAATCTCTCCATCCTACTGCAAGTCACCAGAGCAGCTCATTCTTTGCACAGCCCTCAACCATCTGCAGGGCTAGATAAATGTTATTACTGGGCTAAAACCAGTTTGCTTTCTACACCCAGAAAGTTCTTGAAGAGAGGGAGACTGGGTCTCCTTTTACAAGTTTGGCACTTGTGCTCTGTTAAAAGTGTTGTTAGGCAAGAATATGAACTGCTGAGGCATTTGACTCACTGTCATTCACTTGCCTGTTAGAAGTCCAACAACTGCCAAGATTCATTCACCTTGACAGAAAATTAATGCTTACTTCATAACACCAGATTCAATAATACAAAGTGTTCAAGTTATCCACAGCCAGGAACACTTTTTCAGCAGATTTGTTAAAATCCTCCATATTGCCTTTGCCAAATCATACTGATTAAACAGCAGGATGAAGGACCTAACGCATCCTACATCCCACTGTCAATATTCCCTAACCTCCTTAGCTTCCTTCGACATGCTTGAAAAACACGTTTTAATTTACCAAGCAGCAGAGCTGGATGAAATGAATGGCAGGACCTGGACAGTGGACTCTGATCCAAAAAAGACTGAAGCATAGACAGTTGAGGCATTGCAATTCCTAGCTGGCAGTCACTTGGCTCAAAAACCCTTGGACAGCACCATGCAAAAGGAAACACAGTGGTGGCCTTGTGATAAGTGTCCTCTCTCCCTACCTTGTTGGCCGTTTGCCTGGAGGAGCTTGGACTCTGCACAGGAGGAAGCACCAAGATCTGAAGATGTCCTGACGGAGGCATCAGCAGTGTCCATTGTCCTACCCCTAACTGACCCGTTCCCATCAAATGTGCAGAGCTTGGGTCTGCATCAAGGCAAGACAACTTCTCCGGAGTGCAACCTAAGGCCATGAGTGAACCTGTGCTTGTAGCCAAGGACATGTGGCTGGCAGGCAAGACTGGGCAGTCACAGTAACTGCCAGACCCCGTCTCGCAGTGCACACAGGCAGTAGGTGTCTCTGAACCTGCTCAGAATTAATTCTTCAATGAGTGGATGCACTGCCACCAAGCCAGGGCATCAAACCTATTGCAGCACAGCTGTGATTCCAGGCATGCCTATGTTTGCAGTTACTGATACAGATAAACCATACTGCTGGTGCTGGGTTTGTTTGGGGTTTTGGAGGGAAGGGAGCTTGGGGTGGGTTTGGGGGTGATTTGTTTGGTTTTGGGTTTGGGTTTCCGGGTTTTTTCCTCTCAAATATTGCAGCAACTTCATTGCTTCAGACCCTGATTTGACTTGTACCTGTGCAATCTATATCCCCATACTCACTATCAAGCCTAACCACCACTTTAAACGTTACCGGAGGACTATAGCTCCACCTAGTGTCTGTGTTTGCAGAATGCTCCCTTCCATAGCAGTTCCATTTGGAAACCTTTTTTAAGATCTCTTGAGAGATTACAGGTATCTATAGAATGAGCTCATTAGGAAGAAGCACAGCAAAGATCCATTACGGAGTAAAAGAGAAAAAACAGAGCTTATCAAAACAGGTATGCAAAATTCACTTTTCACCTTCAGCAGACATGGTGGAGGCTATAAAGTTGAGTGCATCAGCAAAACACCATGCACAAGTCAAAACCTCATTAATTTCTGGGCCCAGCCTCTGCCATAGCTGCTGCATGTTTGTCCTCCTTCTGCTTCAGAGCAGGCTCAGAACACAGCAATCCAGAGCTCTCCAGGCCTTGCATCACTCTGCAGCCCAGCCAAGCCTTCAGTGGCTTGCTATGAAATACCATCTGGTAATACGGAACACAGCAATTTCTTGCATTTTTTTTTGTAGATACCTGTGTCCTGGGTGTTTTTTAATCCAGGAAATGTTCTGCTTGGTTTCTTTACCCCATTGATAAAGAAACTATACAGTTAACTTGGCAGTAAGATTTTCCTACTGCTAAGAGTTACGTTAAAAGCGGTGTCAAAATTAGGCTCTCTCGGTTCTTGGTTCCTAAGCTATCTCAGATCACAGAATCAACTAGGTTGGAAAAGATCTTCAAGATCATCAAGTCCAACCATTACCCCAGGACTGCCAAAGCCACCACTAAACCATATCACTAAAGGCCTCCTCTGATTACTAAACATGCGGCATTACTGTTGCTTCAAGGGAAGCTCATGTTTTGATGAAATACCCAAAATTCTCTCCTAATACAACCCCAATGCCTCCTCTAATTCGTTTTTCCTTTTTGCTACCACAATACCCTGCAGATAGTAATTATGAGATGATCTGCTTCCTGAAAAACCTCTCCCTAAAATAAGCTAAAGATCATGAAGAATAAAAGTTTATAATATCCCTTCCATGGCTCTTGCTTACTTCTTCCTCTTTACTACTATGAACATAAATTTATAATCACTTCTTAAGTTATCTGGGTGCCATAATACATGTTTGGAAGGGACTTAGAAAGTATTTTTTTAGTTGTTAGGATGTAAGTATAGTTTGCTTTCTATGTACATTTTTAATGAGTAGCTTTGTAGCAAATGTTGGAACTCAAAACAGGGAGGAAAGCTGAGCTAAGAGACTCTTGAAAAGGAAAACCTAGACCCTACCATTACCAGTCCTCTGCGCTGTAAAATAAATTGGCCTTCATTTTCAGAAACAAATCTGACCTAAGAGCTTCTGGCTCTCCATAACGCTGAAGAGAAAGCAGCCACATGGAATAACACAAATTAAGCTCTTAAGCAAATTTCACAAGCTTCTCACTAAGCCCTTCCAGTCACCGAGCAACTGACTCAATTACTCCAATTGCTGTAACAAGCTAGGTTCCCACAGATGACTCTGGATGGAAAGCGCAAGGTGGAATTAAATCTTTTTAGCACTGTCATTTCGCTTGAATAGACACTACCAAAAATATGCTAGAGCACAGTAAAAGTAACTGCCTTCTGGAGAGTGTACAGAGATAATACATTTATCTGCTTTTTTTTTTATCCCAGTTCCTTCAGTCTCTCCTTGGCAGTAGCACTGAGAGAGCTTGATTCTTATTCCAAGATACTGGTAATGAACAGATTAAATTTCTAAAAGAAAACATTAATTTCTGGAAATGATGCCAAACTGCTCCTCTCTCAGACACCAAATGCCTTTCAGGACAGGGAGCTTCAAACCCTCTCTTGGGACACTTGGAGAGATGAATCAAATCTAAGGTACAGTTCCACATAGGGCTTACAGCAAGAACTCTACCAGTTGAACACATCAGGAAATTATTTACTATTAACTCTAATGTATTCCACCAAGTATGAGGTTGTTTGAAAATCAGTATCTGCCTAATGATGCAATGCTATGTAATTAAAGAGGTACAACTCCTCTGACTGACATCTGCCAGTGATGAATGACATGAGCTGTAGAAGTGTAAAAGTGCAAACAACTGTTCAGGGCTTTTAAGAGCATTATGCTTTATTTGTAATTTTGCAGTAAAAAGTAACTGAAATTATAGTCAAAGAATGCAGGTACTTACCTTATAACAAAAGAGGAAAAGCCCAAAGATCAGACTGTAGAGATCTGCTGTCAGAATACCCAGGTTGACCGAGGTTGCGCTGGTAACTTTAATCACTACGGGCATGAAGCTGTACAGCCCAAACAAGCACAGAGCAAAGGCTGTGAACAGCAATGCTGCAAAACAAGACGACAATTGACTCCTAAGGCAGAGAATAATGATTTTAAAGAACACCAATATTCTTCAGATGCTTTAAAACCATGCATTTTCATCTGTTAGGATAAGGTCTTCTAAAATATATGGGAATGTATATTTAAGAAAAACACAGAATAAATGCTTTTCCAAGACTACCATATATTGCAAAAAATAACTGTATCTATACAAGAAAGTTCTTATTCTTTCCTAGTTAATGTAATAACTGACTGAAGAAATTTAGAGGTGTATTTCTTAATAACGTACAGTTATGTTGAGATCAAAATGTGTCACAAAATCCATTTTTCCAGCATTTCATTTAGGAAAGACAACAGAAAAATGTTCTTGTGATGTTCCAACACCAAATACATGTCTGTAATTGAACAGGTTTCTTTTTTACTTATTTCAATTTATTTTAAGAAATTATTTCATGTTGTACGTAAAATGCAAAACCTGAGCTCAAAAGTTTTCGTGTTCAAGCCTGCAAACCTGATCTCTGCCAAGCTGCAAAGTTTGCAGAAATTAAATTTGTGACAGTAAGAATGCTGCTTAAAATCCAGAAAAAAAATTAAAACCCCAGCACTTGAAGTCTAAATGATTGCAGTTTTCCAGTGCACAACATTTTTGTCACACACATACCAATTTTCCAGTTCCACTGAATTCTCATTATCTCCCTATGTTCCACAATGGCTCTAGAGTTAGAGAAAAGATATAATACAGTAAAAATGAAAAAAAGATATCATATACAATTAATAAGACACATTTTGATTTACAATTCCTTAATTTTTTGTTTGAAGTCTTATTGAATGGCACTAACTCCAAAATTTAACAAGCATGAAAAAGACTTTAAAGTGCCTGAAAGTCAAGAGCACTTTTATTTATTTCTTATGCCTTCTTTCCAGGCTTTTTCATCCTTCAGAGATTCCGTTTTACTTGATATACTATTGAAGGAAATTATTAACTCTAATGATGAGAAATGAGGAACACAGAATTCATTAGAGAGACTTAAGTGAATGTGGTCTGTTACTCCAACGTGGTTATTTGTAAGAGTATATATGGTTTCATTTTAAACTGAAGCTTAACATGAAAGACCTTCTACTAATGATTATTTCCTAAACTTTTCCACAGAGAAAATCCATTAAGAATTTCATTCCTGTGAACAGTCCTCAGCATACTGAGTGTCACCATGAAGATCAACGAAATCAAAATACAGACAAGCATCATATGTGTTCAACTGCAGGATTTCAGCTTTAGAATTGCTGTAATAAGAGCAGTGCAAATAAAAAGGATATAAAACAGATGCTGATCAGCAACAAATACAAAATTCAAGCAGAAGAACTGCCATATAGGCCAAATAAAGACATAACAAAGAATTAATTTAATAACATCATCATTTCACGGTAGACAAGCAATCAACTGTAGAATAGTCTTAATTAGTTTTAAAATAAATATTAGATCCTTACAGCTGTAGACCGCTGATAACAGTCCCAAACAAGCCCACCATTCCTAGAAACTCCACTCTGCTCAGATTTTTCACAATGTATTCCTCACTCACATTAGAAATGGCATACAAAGAAGCACCAAGAAGCACTAAGACATCTCCAATCACCACGTCACTACCTGTACAGAAATATTAATCCACAATAAGGGTAATGCTGCAAAAACTGTTTAACTTTGCTTAAAGAAGACAAGCAAATTTATCTCTAACATCTCCATCTTCCTAGTGCTTTCCAGCATAAGGGGAAAGGAAACAGCTCCTGTGTGCGGGTGAACGGGTTGGTGTCTTAATACAGACTGCTACCTGCTCACCTCACCCTGCATAGTTTGGAATGAGCTACACCTGGCATTTACATCTCATCCTACCAAATCACTGCTGTATAGTCTGGTCCAATTCTACTTCTGCTGACCTAAGGCACTCTAGAGAGCAGAAAAAATTCCCGGTTAGAGATGCTCTTCACCTTTCTGAATACTGCCCCCACTTTTGCAGTAAGGCCTGCTTCAAGCCTTGCTAAAATCAGTCTATTGATCTCAGCAAGACCTGGACTCAGCTTCAGGTTTATGACAGGCCCTAAGTGGGCACTGCAGATGGGTGGTATTGTGTGTCCTGCTGTGATTTACTTATACTGTGCAAATGGGACTCCTTGTGATACAATCACTTGTCAAGTAAATGCTGTTATACATCAGCTAAATGGCAAGAGGATCACTGTTGTTTAAATCCTTGAATTGATTTAAAATTTCCTTTCTTGAGCCAGTTGGCAATCACTAAGAAAACACGTCTGAAATGTGAGGTTAAGTAAGGATACCCAGGTCAGCGAATAAAGCACAACTGTTTTAAAGCATTAGGGAAAGATCAGGACTGAGATACTTGTATCACATAGCATTAAAGCTAAACCTCAATTTGTCTTAATGTCTTACCTACAGTAAGGCACAAAGGCCCCTAAATAACACCAAACAGGCTTATCTCTATGTTGCCTGACTAAGACAATGCCCTGAAATTTACCTTATACCCTCTGGCTCTCAAAATTCAAAATTCTTATTTGAAATAAGATCACTATGATATGGGTTGATTTAGGCATCTGTCATGAAGAAGCCAAGACCTGCCCTTATCTGCACCCAGCTGGATCCTGGTCCCCAGAGCCCTCACAGAAGTCGCAGGAATCCCAGTCCACGTTCCCTCTTGCTCTCCCGTATTAAGCCCCTGCTCTCCAAGCAGTAACCTGTGAGCCTTGGGGATACGTGGACCACTTCTGTTGGGTCTGCTAAAGGTAACTCAGAGAAGTCAGCTGTTGTTGAGTAACTTCTTATTTGCTATTTGTGCTCATAGAAAATTGCACATCAGAAGCCTGGCTGCCAGCAGGCTGATTCCATGTAAGCAAGCCAAAGTTTGAAGGGAGAGGCAGCATCTTTTACTACACCATCTCACACGATTAGTAAAAGTGAACAAGCTCTCAAGACTGAGGCCCTTCACCATGCTGTTTGATGAAAAGCAACAAAATTAAAGCTTAACACAAGTGTTTCTCTTTTAAGAGATAATCCAAACCTACAAGCAAAGAAATTCCACAGCTCCCTATAAAACCAGCAGCTCCTTAGCCACTATCTTCTTGGACAAGAAATACAAATAGCTGTGTCTTCTCCTCTTCTGCATTCTTCCCACTCCCCCTGTATTTGCTCCTCTTTAACAAGTTAGCCCACCACAGGAACCATCTCTTAGCTTTTCCCCCCACAATAAAGGGCTCCTTACCTTCGCTGTCCTGCCTCCCTGCCAAAATGTCTGCACCCACCATTGTTCCTACACCCAGCAAACAGACAGCAACAGCAAGAAAATGGATCAGCCTGTATCTTGCACGAAGAACGAACCATGACAAAGCCATCAGCACAGGAATCCCAAAACAGTCCAGCAGCTGTGTGTACAGAGAAACAGTTTGAATTAAAAACCCACCCCAAATCTCAATTGCACTATCCTGAAAGGAAATGTACAGGATTTTACTTTTTATCACTATCAGATCTTAATGAAAGCAAAGCAACCCAATGGATTCGCTTAAAAGAGCGGGCAGACCCACATTTTGCCGTTAGAAGCATTTTACAAGTGAAAGGAGACCTGGGGCAGGGGATCCATCCAATCCTGGTAGGAAGGCATTGATCTAGAAACTCGCCTAATGATGCATCTAAACAATCTTTGCCGCTTCACAAATGAATGTTCGGATGTTGTTCTGAAAACACATTGCTCCCTATGACAGCAACACAAGGAGGTGGTTCACCAACATTTCCTTTGCTACCCAGCAGCTTTTGTCTCCACATCTGTAATTAGAATTTCAGGCTCCATGAGTACAAAGTAAAAATCTGGAGGTACTGAAACATCATGTAATCTCTTTTTACATTGAAGTGACTAGGACAAGAATTTGACCTGGCAGTTTTAGTTTTAACTTTTTCCCCCTCAAATGGATTCTACCAAAAGGAAAAAAAAAGGTACATGTGCTGGATGCCATGTGCAAAATCAGTAGAAGGAAGATAGGAAGAGAAGAACAGAACAGCTTTCCTAAAGTCACCTTCCCAATCTTCCGGCTTCCCACAAAAGCACGTAAAAGCCACCAATGCGTTTTCATTACTGCGTCAGAGCTGACTCTCAGTTAGTTAGCAGCAGGTAACCCACCCTAGTTCACCCACACCCCACCAGCAGAGACTCACAAAGCAACTGGAGTTTTGAAGCACTTCAGATGTGTCTGCAGACACTGAGCAGACTGAACACCTAATGGTTCAAGGATGTCTGCATTTCATGAAAAGCAGTGACACTGACTTCTCTTTCCTCTATTTCATATTCCCTCTCTGTATGTTTCTAAATCCCTACATGCCTTTGCCTTGCTGTTAGACCCACCCATCTTCTACCCAATCTCCTTTATCACAGAAAATATCAAGAGTTAGCAGTGTAGTTAATACAGAAAACTATGCTGCAGTGTAAGATAAGCAAAATGTTCTAGAATAACCAAGTAATACCAAGAACGTTAAGCCAATTATATTTGGTTTAATACTTGACAAAGTAAGACTTTGCTTCTGAATTTGTCTGGAGGCTAAAAAAGGTGTATTTTCTGACCTTCATCAGTAGAGTACTGTGAAACTATAGAAGGGAACAGTTTACAGCAGATTCATAGAATCAGATAGGTTGAAAAAGATGATTAAGTCCAACCATTACCCCAGGAGTCCGAGGACATACAGTCAGCCTTCCAAAGGCTGCTCACAAATTACTCTCAAATGTCAGCCCTTAAAACTTGTCCTCTTGAAGTCCCTACAAAGTATTAGGTCCAGGTCAATAGGACTGGGGCATAATCATTACAAGAGCCCTTAGTCCTTAATGTTCATTGCCAACCTCTGCCTGCCTAAGTGCACCACTGCAGTAATTTTCTATGCTTGCTTCCATTAGTTCAGCCATTGTTCCCAAGGGTTTTAACCAAACTCCTAAGACTTTCATGGTACGTCCGGTTTTATTTGTTCCTAACTACACATATTAAAGTCTTACAAGTATAGCATTAAAGGGAGTTATTACAGATTAAATCCTAACAGTGCCTCTAATCCTTCCATCTATTTGCTTTCACTCCTTAGATTGCCTCCAGCTTGTCCTGGAGGACAAAAGCACTTGCCTAAGCTGTATTATGAGACATTACAACCACACAAGTCCTAATATGCATTATCATATACAATACAACTTTGCTCTACTGAAAAAATCCCATGCTCAGAGTTTCTACTTAGTCACGGGCCTTTTTCTCTATCTTACTTTAGCCTAGGCTCAAGAAAACATTTTAACATTTCCTCCAAATTTGACTGTTTTGACAAACAGAAATATTACAGACATTAGTAAGCAAAATCTTTACCCCTCTGGTAGTAGACATCTCTTCTACTAATAAGTAAGCTTTTACTTCCCCATTAATTGAGATGTCACTACGTAGCTTTGCAACCTCCAAGCATTTTTTCAACCCACAGAGTGGAAGAAAAACCCTTTAAAAAATTTGTTAATTAGGATGTAAGGGAGTAGAACATAGTGAACAAGAAGCTCTTTCACTAATGCTGGATGGGGAATTGCTGCATCCAGACCAATAACATATTGTGCAGCTACAGCATCCTGGTTAGAGGACTTGCAGCCAACACACAGAGGCACCAAATGATGAAGAATATGCCCTGGTAATCTGTTCCAGGTGGCAATTATACTCAATTACACACAGAAGAAATCTGATTTCCAACTACTGGATCTTGCCTTCTCTTCATCTACTATGTTACAGAGCTCTTCTGTACAGGATCAGGATCAAAGAGGTGCAGAGGAGATGTAATATCGCAATGAATTATATCAATGGAACCATTTAAAAGAATAAAATTTATTTATTCAGGTTTTATGACATTTACAAAAGTACTGTGGCACTGATTACTACTGCCAGTAGAGCCACAGCAAACCCATCTTATTCAACTCTACTCTCTATTTTTACACGGGAAAAGACAGATAACTTGCTGATTTAATTTACAAATGTTTTGACCCAAGCCCGGCTTTGGCCATACTGTTTATAGGAGATTTTAAAGGTAGGGTGAGAAAATTATTAAAAGATGCTTTAATAAATGCTTACTAAATTATCATAGACTGTCAGAGGTCATCAGTTTGCTTATAATTGCCAGCTCCAGACAGCTTTCGTGAGGAAGAAAGCTCAATAGCTCATCCTGCTCTCCTCCCCACAAGGCTCCCTTGGGGCAGCCTCCAGCTGAGCCCCAGGAGTTCATCCTGCATTTTCGCCTGCTGAGGTTAACACTCCCATCCTAATGTTATCTCCTTAAAAATCTCCCAACCCCTTCCGTGTAATGCTAGTATTTGACAACTAAAGGAAAATCAGTTCTGCTTTTGTATGCATGCAAGAGAAAATACATGGAAGTTCCTTGCTGAGCTGAGAAAACTTACGTTTTGAAGATAAGTTTCACAGGGCTGAGCTGAAGCTCTAGCCAGCCAGTGTTTTAACAGTGACTACCCTGTATCCAGGAAGATGCCATATACTCCTGCATTGCTTTATGCTCCCTGGTCATCCGCTCACAGCCAGTGCTGCAGACAGGCCATCAGGCTAGATGCTCTGAATGACCGGTTCTGACACAGCTGCAGAACTGCTTGCTTACTGACAGACAGCAAATGCCTAGACCAAATCACAGGCTTTTTTCTGTCCTGTATCTCATTTCTACCAGTGGTGAGAAACTGGTGATTTCAGAGAATATGCAAGAAACCTTACAGCAACAGGCAGTTATAACAAATTCCATTACTAAACTGACACAAAGCAGCATCAGTCTGAAGGTTACCACATGGGAAAAAGGTTCGTCAAATGCTTAAGTTTGGCAACTGGACTGGACAACCTACTCACTCTAGTCTTTCATAATTTCTATGAAAGAAATCATGGGAATAGCTTTACTACTTCTGGGAACTTGGATCAAAGTCCTGGCTTTTTCAGCTGTAAAGTATATGATCAGACAGTGTTTCAATTATCAGCTTAACTTGATCTTGAGACTGAAATGTGTCACTCTTAAAACTTTGATTTCTTTGATTTCTTATTTGTAAGGAAATTAAAGGCCTAATGAGTTATAACGTGTAAGTATGAAGTGGAAATGTGACAATAATAATTCAACAGGCACTATTAATGGTCTTCAGTAGTGCAAAAAAGTTACTGCAGTTCTCTAAAAGCAGCCCAGAGCACAGGAATTTATTGCTTTACAGGTAGTTCTTTTAAATATTAACCCTGTTACTTTGACTGCAAAACACTGACACCTAAACACTCCTTTCCAACTAACAGCCAATTCTACACAGTACAATTTTATTCAGGTGAGTGGGGCCATGCCCCCAGCCACAGATCTGCCATCAGCAAGAGCAGGCATAGCCTGGCACAACCCCAGGCACACTCCTCCCTTGCTCCAACAGCAGCTGTGGAGCCATACAGTGAGCTAATTTGGGCCTGACACAGCTCACCAATAGTCCAGCAAAAGACAGGGTTTGCTCTGACTTTGCTCAGTGCCCCGAGACAGTTTGCTCACAGGATTTGGCCCTCAGCTCAGGAGCATGCTGTTGGAGGCAGGAGGAAGGCACTAACTCTTCCAGCAGTTTATGTCTGTGTAGGGTGACAAAAGAACCCCAGCCTTAGCCCTCCTGCTTGTAAAGCTTTTTCATAATACAAGATCTATCCCAGTACAGTGACACAGCACCAAGCACTGGAGCGGCAGAAGATGTCTACTGTTACTTCAGGAGCCTGGCACACTTACCTCCCCTTCCATCTCTTCCAAAGAGAGGCCTGAAGTGCCACGTCCAAAAGCCAAAGGGCTGTCCCTTAGTGCATGGTCAGCAACACCAGCCAACTACTAGTATGTCCTCATGTGTGGAGTTACATCTCACAAAGCCTCCCACAGCTTCTAGGACCAGGCAAGAGATCTCCCTTACTCTCATCATCAAGAGCCTGTGCTGAGAGAGTCCTACCAGGTCATAAATCTTTATTTTGCGTCAGGAGAAAAACCTGAGTGGCTGTCAGCAAACTCTTGCTGCTGCAAGAGTTAGAAGTGCTTTCTATCAGAATAATTAGAGTCCAACTCTAGAGCTGGCACTGGATAATACCAGTCAATTTTCTCTGCTTCCTGGAAACCCTATTCATGATGCAGCATGCTCTTCCCTGTACTGCACAGAGAAAACAGATATTGGAAAGTTTTTCAGGCTTAAACAGCTTTCATGTCTGTCCTATGAATCTGATTTCAGAAACCAGTCCAAGACTGTATAAAAGCTACTGTTCAAAAAGAGAGATCAGTTCTTACCTGTACACTTGTGAGGGTTGTGTATTGGTAGGCTTTTACAACCATGTAATTGGCTTCAACATCAGCCAGTACCAAAATAATATACTTCCACCACCTCTGTTTCAGAATTTGCCAAAGACTGTCACTGTCTGTTTAGAAAAAAACAGTAATCAGTATGTGTTTCTTTCCAACCAAATGTTTTGCAGGAATCTTGCTTTTTAGAAGCATAGATACTACAGAGACGCTCAATTTTGCTTTCCTCTGCTTGAAAGAGATACAGTAAATGCAGCCAGGGATGAGACAATGCAAATGCTGAAAAGCACGAAATTCTTCCACATGATGAAAAAACCCACAAGAGTAGACATGATTAAAGAGTAAATTAATAAGAATAGGAGGAATATTAAATAGCCTCTGGTAAAGAAGCTTGTTACGACAAAGACTATTTTCCTTAATATCACACAGCACTCGAAACCAAAGAACACATAATTTTAAACAGATACGAAGTGAAATAAAAATTAAATGCACATTTAACCTGTGAAATTCATTTCCATGTGTTATTACAAAGTAGGAATTTCAGAAGGAACTTTAAAAAACTAGGATGAGTATTGAGTTATTTTCAAAATCTGTAAGGAAAATGTAGAAGAGGAAAAAAAAACAAATTATGAACCAGAATCTCGCATATTTTACATACCAGTCCTAAATGCCAGCATTGTTGTATAAACTAACAGAAGCAAAGAATAGTTGATAAAACTTTGAAACATTGGAGTATTCACTTGGTATTGTTCTGCTAGGTACTGGCTTGTTACAGCAGTCCCACAGATAAACAAGGAGAGCATCTGGCCCAGAATTACTGTTTTCAAAATATACCTGTGAATATAAAAGACAACACAGTAAGATTAGAATTAGACATTCAAGTTGTTTAAAAAAAAGAAAAAAAAGCATTTGCTAGTTTTACAGGGAAAATGCCTTTTTTTAGATAGATATTCCCCACCAATGTTGTTCTGATTTACCAATAAGCAGAGTTTTGTCCACACAGAGTATCTAGTCTAACCTCAGGACAGCCATGTAAGAAATGAGGCCAGTTAAAACCAAGAGTGATGGATACCACAAAAATTTGCAAGAATCTTCAAGCAGCTCCTCTGGGCAGGCTTAAACCAATGGCAGAATCTATTCTCATCAAGAGAGGTTTTGATACACACAGCCTGCATTGAATCCTTTGTTCTCCACTGAATCTCATTCTGACATTGGTCAACAGAAATCTTTAAGATTAGGCACAACTGCCTTCAGGCCCTTCCAAGACATGAGCCTTTGAGAGTGAGCTGAGACCCTAAGCTGAGCAGTGCTATAGAAATACAAAGGTATTAACCATAGAATCATAGCACAGCCCAGGTTGGAAGGACCCTGAACGATCATCTGGTCCAACCTTTCACGGGAAAGGGAGATTATCTAGCACCCTGTCCAGTCACATCTGGAAAACCCTCAGCAATGGGGACTCCACCCCACCCCTGGGGAGGTTGTTCCCGAGACCGATTTCTCTCACTGCAAAAAAAAAAAATTTCTTATAGTAAGAATTCTTATCATTAATACTAATTGTGGATTTTTTCTGCTATATGCCATCACGTTCTGCTGTAATCGAGAATGGAGTTAAGAACACATTTTGGTCAAAGATCATGTTAGCAAACACAACTCATTTTAAATCCAATCCTTTCAGAAGGAAAGCTCATGCTCTTTTCGTAGCAATTCTTCACCTAAGAGAAAGTGAACTATTCCAGATGCTGCTAGACAAACATAGAGCACTACGTACCTATTGGCTTGCTGCTTTTCCAGCCAGAAGAGCTAGGCAGATTCGTATCACCCCAGTCTCTGCCTACATACTCACGATATACAGTGACAGAGGCTCAGTGCTGTGCTGTCTGTACAGATCTGTGAAGTTCACATCTAATCTGTTTACTCTGAAAACTACTGATGAGAATTCAGCTGTCTGCACAGCTGACCCATTTGCTCCTACTCAAAGTAATTGAGTAAGGGAAGAAAGCAGTAACACTGGCTGTATTACGAAAGTGGTTGACTTTAACGTAGTTAAGTACAAGCTCACCCAGCTATGCTGTGCAATCTGGCTGCCAAGCAACTAGTAGAAGGATGTGTTCAGGGGTGCTAAAGCCAACTACAAGCATACAGTCAAGCCCTCCCTTTGGAAGGGAGACATATTCCTTGCACGGATTCTAATTCAGCTGCATGAACCTTGTTTTTAATTCTGCCTGACTCGAAAGCACTTCTGACTAAAGATGCTGCCAGGCACATTTTTCTCTTCAAGCCCATTTTGATGAGACAGCAGATCTCTGCAAAGTTCAGCCATGCTGCACTTCCAAGAGATTCGACCCCCGTGTTGCTACAGGTTGCTTTGCCAATCCCAGCAACAGCGCGCATCCCCATTAGAGTATTATTAATACTCTATCATATAGAGTAATATATCATGTAAGCTATAATATATATATAATATATCATGTAAGCTACCTCACTTCTGTTACTTTGTATTTTTTATTCTGGTCAAAGATTTGATTGTGCTACCTCTTCTCTAAAGCAGGCACAGATAATAGTTACAGCTCACCCTATGCCAGCCCTGTGAACTCAAGCTTATCTACCAGAAGACCCACTGAAATTTTAAGGAAGAAATAATGTGGTGAACAATGCATGAAAAATGTGGCTTCAGGCATTTTAAAAAATGCATATATACTCTTTATTATTCAAGTAAAGAGTTTCCTGCTCCAAACCAGCAGAAAATCTTTCTTCCTTACCCTCAGTGCAGGAGGCACAGAGCAAGCCTTTTGCAATTAGTAAATTAGCACCTCATGCTTGGACTAGCTGGGACGAGGGTGTGGACATGGGGATCAAACCTGAGTAGAGTTGTGACTGTGCAAAACTACTGCAGTTTTACTGGAGCAGAGCTTCTAAGCCTGCGTATTCCACAGGATGAATTGCACTCATCAACACGTTACCAGGAGAGGTCAAAGCTGCCTTGGCTGGCAGAAGCTCTGCTCTCCCAGATGCAAACTCCTCTTCACCCACCTCCCAGGAAGTGCCAGAGAGATGGGCAGAAGCACAGACAATGCTACCCGCAAGCATCTGGCTTGTTTAACATAGATTTCTGTGAGGCAAGGCTCCTCCAGGAGATGGTATGTAAAGGGTAGACAGAGTATCATTTATTAAAAACAAGAAAGACCTGGCTGCCCTCTTGCAGTGGAATAATTCCACAAAGTTGATCCTCAGCTTTTCTAACAACTTAAGTTTTTCCAGTTTAAAGTACCTATGGAGTTCTCTTGTTGCGTTTTTGCATATGTGAAGAGGTGCAGGTCCAGAATCCACAGAACTGTTCGATTAGTGGTTACTGCACCAGCAAACATTGCTCTTTAGTTAATGTATGTCTTGACAGTCCTGCAACTTTTACTTCCACCGTACCAAAGGCAAGCAGTCTCCATACTACCTCTTTCCC